GGCAAGAAAAACGACACCGCTATGCTACGTAAGTTTCTACGTAAGGTGCTCGGTATTTCACTTAGGCTACGTAAGTCTCTACGTAAGGTGCTCGGTATAGATCTACCAACGCGCAACGGTTGGTAGCCGCGTGCTGTGCACGTGCACGGCAGACATTGTGTTGCATGCAGTGCAGTCCGTGTTCGGATGTGCATGCGCGAGGAACTTCCTCCTTTGGAACTGCTTCTTGTATGAGCTGTTTCGGATATTTCGTCTCCTAGATCCTGGCCTGGCTTATTTCGTTTCGGCGCTGCTGAGAGCTCCTTTCGCGGAATATTACTCAATATCGACAGGTGAGTTGACCAGTTACCTTTGATTCTTTTGCTTGTGTTGACTCTTTCATTTACGAAAAGTGTGCTCATTTTGGGCGGAATGCAATAAATAATGGAAAAGCTGGCAGGATCTCTTTTCTAAATTTAGCTTTTCCGCTGCCGAGGCCCCTTTTACGGAATACTCGATGACAGGTGATCTCTGAGTTGACCGGTTTCCTTCGATTCATTTGCTTATGCTCACCCTTTCATTTACGGAAACGTGTGCTGATTTTATTCGGATTTAGATCCATTTTTATCTCTTTGCCCTTGTCTACAGTGTGCGAAGAACGCGAGTTCACCTTCTTGACGGTAAGGCTTATGTTAGATGTGTTGTCGAAATACTCATATTCATTGTACATTGGTACGTTACAAGTAAGGCACTGGTCAGTGGCATACTATCGTTGGCAGTTCCCAATCTGGAGGGAAAGGTTCAAGGACCCATTGACCGAGTTTGCAAAAATAAATTCGCATATCAGGGAAAATCTCCATTGTAGAGAGGTTCAGTAAACTTGTATGATAAGATTTGTTTACTCGAGTCTGGGCTGTTTGATTTATTACTTGTGAGTTCCGCCGAGATTGCACTGCCCCAAATGAAGTTTCGTGCCGCCAAGGCAAGAATTACGATCTGCAATCTGTTTGTAGTACCTGCAAGAATGTGCTGTACATGTATCGTACTTTCTCTGTTGCTGTTTCAGTTGCCGTCATGTTGCTAAAGAAAAACAGTCATTGCGAAAGTGTGTACGAATTTTTGCACAAACTTTGCGTTCTGCACGTTTTCGTAGTTTGCGCGGGCCAAGTGCACGTACGCCATGACCCGATCTCACGAAAGTGTGTACGACTGTTCATTTCGCGTTCCCTGCAAGTTTCGCGTCCAAAGTTGCGAAAGTTCGTGCGAAGTTTCGCACTTCAGGACGTGGAACGACTGTTTGTACGCATTTTCGTTTTGCAGAACCTCTCTAGTGACTCATTTGTTTCATACGAGACGAGTCAATGAGTTGGTGTGGCTTAGAATCTTTCGCTGTAGAAGAAATCTATTCGTATGTCTATTGGAGAAATAATTGTATTCACTGGTTATAAAATAGGTTAAGACAAACTCACAGAATAAAAACCATCGGTCCCTTGGTGTTCGTCCTAAAGAGGTTCGACTGGATATCATTCATACTCACCAAAAAATGTGTACGATTCTATTATTATGAAGTGCCTTGTTTATCTCTCAGTACCTCCAACCATAGCCTTGCCCCTTTTATCCTCAGGATCAGTGTAGTTGTTGGAACGAGGTGTCGGACTCAGCAATGTATTTGTTTACATTTTAATACATGTAAAAGAGAAAAGGACATATGGATACGAGTTAAGAGTAACTCTCCATCACTGTAACATGATACTATATACAGTCAGAAAGTGCAATAACTAGGCACAAAACTGACAGAGTACTGAGACATTCGACGTCCTGACACCTAACTTCAGCACATCTCCGTAGCGCCAACCGACAGCCTTCCAACTTGGAAGGTTCAAGGTTATGGAAAGACCAAAGAGGGGAAGGCAAGCGCAACGAAAACGAGCAAAAGCCACAGTCCCAACGGAACAAAGAATGTCGATTGTTACTGGACGATGACGAGACCAGTACGATATTTGACAAAGCGGTCTAACTACAATTCGAAGCAGCAAAGCAGCACACCACCCAACTTGGGTGGGTCATAAATATCAAAGATAAGTAAAGAAAGGGAAGCTTTGCGAAAACGAATTGTACAAGCCGAAAGCCAAACTCCTACAGTACTCCTCATGCATGACATTGTGATGGACTAGTTGACTACAAAACAAGTTGTTTCACACGACGTACGTTTCGCCGTATGGTTCGTGACGGCTCATCAGGTGTGCAATTTGAAACTCGGATGTTGAGCCATAAATAAATGTAAAAGAGAAAAGGACATATGGATACGAACCTTGAACCTTCCAAGTTGGAAGGCTGTCGGTTGGCGCTACGGAGATGTGCTGAAGTTAGGTGTCAGGACGTCGAATGTCTCAGTACTCTGTCAGTTTTGTGCCTAGTTATTGCACTTTCTGACTGTATATAGTATCATGTTACAGTGATGGAGAGTTACTCTTAACTCGTATCCATATGTCCTTTTCTCTTTTACATTTATTTATGGCTCAACATCCGAGTTTCAAATTTTAATACATGTTTATTGTTCCTCCTTTGCTGTGTTGTTTTAGAAAATCGTGGACTAACAGTTCGCAGTCATTGAACTACTTCCAAAAGTTGTATCGACATCAACAGGGTTACGATTTCAGTGCAATATGGTGCAGGATGACCTTATCACGATAACCCATGATTATAAACCATTATAAACACAGAATCAACAAAAACATCTGCGACACGCACCTGGTTACATTTCTCAAATAAATCTGATCGAGGGTGGGGAAATCTGAAATATCTGAAAGGCAAGACAATTTTATGACAGAGTCATGAAATTCTGCTACAGCAACATGCACAGAATGACCTCCGTATAAAAAAGGTATCACCACGGTCCACCACTACTCACATGTATCCCCGCAGAAGAACATGCCAGTCCCATTTTCTGCAAGAAAAGGCTTGCACATCAATGCGTATATTACGGTATTGATATGATGTGAAGGCCATCATTTACATATTGATAGGGCATTTCATTGATTGGTGACAGAAAAACCAGAAGAAATTATAGCAATAAAAACTGCTTTATGGCAGTTTTCTAAAAAAAGGTTATTGTGTTCTAGTCCATGGACCCCGTCTAAAAAGTAAGAAATTAACGAAATGTGCAAGCTGAAAATTAAAATTTCACACAAAACCTCACAATAATCACACACAGAATGAAAAGCTACATGTAGAAGACCTTTTCTCCTCGTGATCCTCTTTCCTATGCATGCATGTTGCCAATTGTTGGTGGAGTACAAGTTTAGTGTTGAAAGCAGAATTTCAAGTGCTGTGATTATTGTGAGGTTTTGTGTGAAATTTTAATTTTCAGCTTGCACATTTCGTTAATTTCTTACTTTTTAGACGGGGTCCATGGACTAGAACACAATAACCTTTTTTTAGAAAACTGCCATAAAGCAGTTTTTATTGCTATAATATGTAATGTAGCGATTTGTGCCGCAGAATTTCAACTTTCTGTCCGCGGATTCCTGGAGCTGGAGGGACAGATGAGATAACCCCGCTGGGGTTATCTCTTTTAAAATTATGTACTCTTGATAACATCAAGAGTACATAAACCAGAGTGTGCAACTAGACTAAGGGTGCGTTCTTAAATCCTCTCGGAAAAGTTGGAGACTCTCCGAAAAGTTCGAGAGCTGTTCTTATATCCTCTCCGAATTTTAGGAGGCTCTCCAAAGCTCGCCAAGCTCTCCAAGCTTCAGAGGTGGTTGAAACTTGGAGATTCCCGCGGTTTGGGATCAGCGCATGCGAACTAGGCTAAAAGCCACGTGTTGATCATGAGTGTACGCATTTCCCTTTTCGCATACGCACAGCACATTCGTGGCACTCAAGATCGCGGCCCCTTTGGCGCTTCATTTTGCTTGACATCTGCAAAATATCTCCGAATTCTGCGAGACCCGTTCTTGAAGAATCCCAGTTTCTTCGACTTCTCTTTTCTTCTTCTCCTAGAAGCTAGAGAATTTAAGAACGCACCCCAACTGTGCATATCAGATCTGAAACAGCGCAGTTCGTGCACTACGCGTACGTCACCCTGGTGAGATCAGCCAAGCCGCGACTTGCGTACAGCTCAAGTGTTCATGTTTCATAGCCCGGAAATCAGCCAAGTTTGCTTGATTTTAGACGTCCTGTTTCAGGATTTCGGTGTTTTGTGTGACTGTGTACGCTGCGTACATCCACCGACAAGTAAAGTCACCAGGCTATCCGTCTCAAAAAACCGAAATCAGGACAAACTCAGTGAACTGCACCACCGCGACTGGTTACGCAACTTTTCACCATACCTGTGGCTTACCATGCCGTCAGAAATGACGTAGTGCACGAATTACGCTCCCACAGGAACCACCCCGAGTTGCACACTCTGGTTTATGAATTATGTACTCTTGATAACATCCATAAACGGGAGTGGAAACGCCTGGACTCCGAGCACCCAAACTAGTCATAGCCCGAAATTGCCGGCAATTCTTTGAGCAATATATCGAAATGCCAGATTGCCGGCAATTGTTGAGCAATTTATCGAAAAACGTTAGATTTCAGATGGGAATTTTGAATTTCCTCCCGAAAACTGGGCTAAAAACGCCGTTTCCTTCTTATAAAAGCGCGGATGACCGCGATTGGTCCATATGTTGTAGTCTTTTGGCCGCTGAGTCTACTGGTTTTGGTCCGAAAAGGCTGCGATGCAGCGTTCGGCCCTTATTTTTGTTTGAGTAAGCGGTCACGTGCTCATTTACAGCCTGTTTGGGAGCAATATTTCGACTGCCAAAAGAAATGCCAGGCAAGGTTTCGAAAAAGAGGCGGCAAAATATTGCCGCAATTTATCGGCCCGGGCCGGGCAATTTCGGGCTTTGACTAACCCAAACACCATTGTCATTGAGAGAGTAGTATAGTCTCAAAAGGGGAAGGGCACCTGTCAGAGCATATGCACCCACGCTCTCACAAACACAGGACCAAACACTCAAGCAAAGCCCAAATAATGTTACACTGCCATCATCCAACCGATGTTTTATAACACCGCTATTTAAACAGCACGCCACCAATACAACAAGAGTAAAGGTAAATGGCCAAGCCAGCACAGATGTAGATGCTGTATTACCAGAGCCAATGAGAGTCACAAAATCAATCCGGCCAAAAAAGACCAAGCACAGAGCGGTCGTAGAGAGTAGAAAGCTCAACAGTAGCTGCACACAAAAGGAACAAACGCCCACAACTACCCACAAAGAACGAGTGGTTATGTAGATGAGAAGAAAGAACGAATACCAAGCCACTTCAAAGCAGTTAGGGAGAACCAATAAAAGTAAGTGTGTCTACCTATGAAAGCTTTGCTTGCCGAGGAGGCACAAGAAAAAAGAGAAACAGGCGACTATCGGGCGTGGGGAACTGATACTGTGAACCTAATGAATACAGCTAAGCGTTGCAGGAAAAACTGAAAAGAGGAGCATGGCCGCAAGCTCAAGCTTCTACTGGCGGTGTTTGGGGTTGAAATAAGGTGACTATCAATTCGATGTGTAGGATGTTGAAACACACTCGACTCTAGGTAAGAAAAGGGATGGAATGCCGCAGGTGAAGAAGAGATAAAGAGTTCGCTGCATCCAACACAGCCAGTCGCTGGGGGAAATGCTGATGCACCTTCGCATAGGCACCAGGTCCCTAACCCAAAGCTGGGAAGTCGTCGTCACGGAAGTTGTAGCTGCCACCTGGACCCCTCTCGCGTCTCTGGGGGGCATCGTAGCTGCGGCTACCACTTGGTGCACCACGGGCACCACCGCGACCGCCGCCGCCACCACCACGACCGCCACGTCCCCGTCTGCCTTCTGGGGCACCACGGGGTGCGTTGTCCACGTTGAACTTGAAGGAGAGGTCAACAGTCTGTCGCGAATGAGACCGCTGATCCTTCTTCTCGATCTGTAATACAGGAAAAGGAATATTGTGAATGATATGAGCACCTCAACAAAAGCATTGAGTACGATAATAACAAGCAGACGCAAACATCTGCAACTCAAGTGCATAGATGGAACACAAGCCACCACATCAAAAATGATGCTGCCCGAAACAAGCAAGTGGAAGCACACAAATCCATGTTTGCTATGCAGGACGCTTGAGTCTGCGTGCGGTGCATCAGTATGGTAGCAAGAGAACATAAACCAGAGTGTGTAAATCAGCCGCTATACTGCATAAACCAATTCCAAGTCATTTTCTATCTAGGTAATCATGAATCGTCGAAAATCCGGCACATCGTTGGCTCAACAACTCAGTCTTCGTATCACTGAGGTGACAATGCGACATGTCGAGCTGTACCGATGCACAGAGGACTCCTAAGATGTACGAGTACAGTAAACAAATGCAAGTCGCTCCGTAAGTTTGAACTGGTTACATGCGCTTGCATACATTTCAAAATACCAATTTCGCGTAAAACTACCTTTCTGAAAATGGTCATAACTTTAGTAATCTTTGTTGTATTTCCAAAACAAAAACAGTTCTGTGCTCAGGATACATAAAAGAATCGTTTGAAATCAAGTTTGCTCACATAGAGTGAATTAAAATTTTTACTGCATGGCAAAGTTTTCAATGGGTCCGGGCTCAAAAGGTTAACAAGCATTCCGACTGCCATGCTGATAACATGGCGGGTGATTTGCCTCTGCTGTGACGGATATCATTTCACTTTGTCTCTACCTTTCCACGACTCGGCGTACTATCTAGTTCCGAAGAAATGGTGTCACAAAACGAAGTCATGCATGGACTCTACTGCTATTTCTCATTCCATGTTGCGCTTTCTACCACTATCCATGCCAGGGAGGGAGACGGTGACGGACAACGGAGATACAAGCGTGGTACACCAATGGATATCGCTGGCACAACGTACGGAGGTGGAAGGATGAACTCTTGCTGGCACAAGTGGTCGGAGTACGACGGGCTGTTCGGGCAAGATGGAACGTTACCCAGCTCAGAGAAAACAATGTGGTCACAAAATTATTGAAGGTTTGGAAAATCCGTGCTGAGTGATGAAATGGCAGGAGACGCAAAAAACAACTATTTCACCTTCTTTGGATGACCTATTCAGAACACAAATGCCTGTGCTTCTTGTGCTGCTTGCACATTTGCTTAGCTTGATCTTCACTTTCTTTCCCATGTTTTCTGTAGGAGTTTGGGAAGCTCCTAAATCCTTAGTGTGTGTCATTGATATCAAGACGGTCTGTGAGAGGCACTGTATTTTGTTTTCTTGTCTAACCACAAATGTCATACCTTCAGGAACTACGTCCTTTTGTTTGATTGTATGCACCTGAAGATATTCTATTCACCTACATTCTTTCACAGAGACAACTTACCACGTATTCGACATCGTCTTCGTCATTAACCTGGGCAGGTCGCTCATAACGGCGTGTGTTCTTCCACTTGGAGAGATCCTCGTTCTCGCCGGGTTTGCGCACATTAACATCAGACTTGTAGCGGGACTGTTGCTGCTGGGTTCGGTACTCGTCAAGGGTCATGAGCTTGGCATCCTCGTCCTCAACTACGGGTGCAGCCTCCTCGGCCGGCTTGTTCTCACCTTCAACTCCCTCGGTTGTTGTCCTGAAAGAAAATCAAGAAAAAGGAAACATACATTCCCAATAGACTTTCAATATGACTAGATACCAGCAGTACTTCCTTCCCAGTCAATCAAGATCAAGAAATAATGCCAACGAAATAGCAGTAGAAACCATACTGACGAGGTTAATGCTCTATATTAGTGTTGGAACGAATGTTCTTTATGAGAAAAGAATCTTTCTGTTTCAAACGAAAGAATGTTCGAACCTGCTATTGAATATAGAAAGTTGTCCTCCGCGATACATGCAGATACTGTCACATAGGCCTACAATTACGCAGCACCAGCGAGGGAAGCGAGGAGATTTGAGATACGCGACTTCGACCAGAGCGTACAGGTGCTGTGTGTACAAGTAAGATTTGTACTCGACGGTTCCCTTGAATTTAACATTCCTTCTTTTGAATTCGAAAACAAAGATCATCTGAACCTTCTTCCCAACACTACACTATATACAAATAATTGGTGGATGTGAATGGTTTTCAGAGTACGAAAAGACTTAACAGGAAGAACTGAAACAGGCAACATGGAAACGTAAACGTCTCTCACTAAAACTACTTAACCCCTAGAGCTCTACCACGGCATCCATGGATTCCTACAGGGTTCGCGCAGAGGTGTGAGATCGATCGCGCGACAGTCCCAGCACGCATTTCAAAATTATCTATTTCACCAGATGAAGAATATCTCCATCTTGGTCTCTTAGGAAAGCTACAGATCTCCTCTCTCCAGATATCACCACTAAATACTCAACAGGAGCAACAGACTTAGTGTCATTTGAGAGCTGCCCTATTGTGCCTGAGCGAGATACTTTACCCACATCCACAAATTCTATTGGCTCGGAAGTTCACTCTACGTAGAATGGTGATTCAAAGTGCTGCAGATTCCAGAAGCCAAAGTGATTCATTTGGTCTCCACTACGCATACGCCATGCAACCATGAGTCCTAGGGGAAGTCACGTTTAAGCACTGCCGTGCTAAAAACGCAAGGAAACTTGAAACAAATTCAAGCGTAGCCGTGTTTCGCTCTTCGGCGCTCAGTGATTCTTCATCGCGCTATATCAAACGACACATCGTTGGAAAGCTTATTCTCTCGGCTTGCCAATGAGCCCTCATTCTTGGCGATTGAAGAAAGGGCAATGGAGTTACGACAATTTTAGCAGTGATGTGTATGCACTACACACACTTGCACACGAGTACGAAAAGAAAATCGTTCAGGATTAGAATTGCGACCACACTAAACATGTGAGGAGAATGAAAATTCAAAATTCATTTCAAGCATCAAGTGGTTATGTATACGAACAATGTCAAATGAGCCGTCAGATGCGAAAACAGACCTTTAATATGGGAAAAAATCATATTCGTGTTAGTGATACTATCTGAAAGCCAGGAGCATCAGGAGTCGGATGCAAAAAAACTAGAGTTGATTTGGATCAAGGGAAGTAAAGTTTTAGCCTCTACAATAGGAGACAGTTTCAAATTGCATCTCAATTTTGGGTGCAATGCCAACAATTGTTTCACCTACTTTGTAGAATATTTCCTGTTTCCTTTGACCGATTTCCACAAACTTGGGCTTTCTGGAAAGCTCTGGCGACGAGCAACCCGTTGGGCCCAGATCCGATAGCAAATAAAGCACAGCACCAGCGCAACAAGCTGCAGACATCGCTTCAGCGCTGGACTAGCGCCGTCACACGAAAATCGCTCGCCATTTCCATCTCCATTATCCCAGGACGCCCAATTTTTTTCGTGAAGAGAAGATGCACTGAGAGCTTCCAAGACGTCTGAGCCTGTTGCCGAGATCGTAGGTCGCTTGAAAAGGGGGAAACCCCTGGTCTGGATCGTTTGATTTGCACGTAGAAATGCAAAGTGCCGTTACGTATCTTGCAGGCTCCGCAGCATCGTGCCGCGATCGCGCTTGCTGCATTGGATTCCTTGGAGTTTTCTCTTCGATTTACATAGGATTGTCCCGAAAGACCGATATTTGACTGAAATACGGAAGGTTTGTAGCTTGGTTGTCCAGGCGCACCAGTGCGTAAACTCGCCAACTTTCAAGTGCATTTTTCTGCACTGTGCAGTGTTTCCCATAAGGTCGGTTTTCGCATCTGACGGCTAAAATCCTTCACCTTGGCAATCGCGAACACCTTCAGTGCAATCCTTGCAGCCATCCAAGAGTTTAGGCCAATTAGCTTCTCTATATCGAGATGAAAAAATCAGTGAATACCAGCGTCAAAACTCCTGTTTGGAGCTTAAAAGCATGGCCCGTACTTGCTTTTTTTGGAGCATCGACCCTCGATTTCGTCGCTGTGGCGTTAAGTTTCTATGGAGGTTCGGATAATTTAGTTGGGCACATTGGCTCCAGATCGATACCAATGACAAGCATACACGGTTAGCTCGAAAGTTTAAAAATGTATACTTTGCGCGGGAGAGTAGCTGAGCTGATTCAAATGAAAAAGAATTCAAGATTTGACTACACATGGCTGCTGTCTGTAGGGTGCCCAACAGAGGGAGATCCGGATATGAGAGGTTGTTTGTGAAATCTGCACACAAAAGTACACTGCGCACTACACTAAAAGAACCTTACGGTGCAGCATCCTCGGTGGTGGCTTCGGTCTGAGGTGCATCTTCTGGCCTGAGAATCAAAGGAACACCATTCAGACCAGTTACATTATATATTTCATGGCATATAACATAGCCAACAGAACATTCAGGATGACCCAGAAGAAGAAGACTTATCGCAGGCATCAAGTAGAGTTGATGCAGATTAGTAGGATCAAGCAAAGCAATACATCTCATTTACAAAAAGCACGAAACATCTTGTACAGTCAGATCTCGCTTGTCCAGAAGAAAATCGTTGGTTATCAATTTACAGCATATGTAGTGCACACACACAGTAGGTGTGTTTGATTATCCGGTTTCCTTGCCTATCCAGATATTTTTGTGGAAAACGGATGTGTGTGGTTAAACGAGGTCAAGATTGTATAGCAAAAACAAGCAGCCCAGACTATAAACAGAGTAGCTTCCCACAGAGTCACGTGATCAGCATACAATGAGTAAAACACTTTGGATATCCATCAGGCTACTAGTAGCAAAAAGAAACAATCCTGTAGTCTAGCTGATCCTCTTACACTCCAAAGTCGTTCACTGGGTTACCCCAGTTGCGGGGACCGCCGCCTTCTCTCTTGTCTTGGGCACGGACATGACTGCACGCAGAACGAAAGCAAAAGAAAGCACAGGTGCTCCGATCAGTCTGTGAAACGTCCTATTTAGGACATCGAACAAATACAATAACGCTTGGCAATGCGAGACAACTGCGACCGTGACACACAATTCACAATCTGTTTCATTCCTGCAATATCTTAATACAGTGCCATTGTACGAATAATGTAGAAAACTGTCCATTGATGTCCTTGGCAAAAGTAGAGCAAAAGTTCAACTTTTGCACAGTTTGAGGGAGCCTATGGAGAATCTTTGGGATCAAGTGGACGCATAGCACCCAATGTTACTTTACACATGAGGTCGAATTTCTCTGACCAGGACTGTACAAGACTTAAGCGCTAAGGGCAATATCATCTTCCTTTTCAGCGTCTTGAAACCAAGTATGTGCGACGTATCAAGATCACTACATAGATGCATATCACGGGCGCACCGACCCTACGGTGTCCCATATAGGAGTTCGCCCTCATGAATATAACAGCACCAGACAATGCATGGTGCTGAACGTGAGGCTCACTGAGATTCAGCTATGTATACAACACAGCGCTACCACAGCAATGGCAACAAACACCGGTAAGCGTAGAACTTTCTTTTTCAGTGACTTGATGTCATGTTTATTGCAGAAATGGAAAGGACAGATGTCCAGTGAGGTGAGCGCTTTATGGGACTTAAATTCAAAAACTGCCGGATAATGATACTATCGTCAGACTTAAGGCCGATTCACAATACAACTTTCTGCGACGCGACATGCGACTTGCGACGAGCTGCGACATCGACACACGGCTCACAATATTCTTATGTTTGCGACATCCTCATGCACAAGTAGTACTATGCACGTGCACCCAGGGTCGAAACTGTACTCCATTTGTGTATGTCGCGGGTCGCATGTCGCAAAAGTTGAAACTTTCTTCAACTTCTGCGACAGGTGCAATGCGACAGGCAGTTTCTTGTCGCAACTGTCGCAAATCGCGTCGCAGAAAGTTGTATTGTGAATCGGGCTTTAGAACCCATTTGACTGATTATTTTCGACTTCAATAAGAACATGCGGTAGGAGTGCGGCAGGGGGGATCGCGTGGAAGGTTCATAAGAACATGTTGTAAATAATTATACATACTTGTGATGCACGATCGAGGATTGTATTGCGCAAGACTTCACCTTGTGAGGCACAACCCCCCCCCCCCCCTTAACATGTAATGGCACTCGAAGTCTTAGAGTGCTGGACCTACTAGTAGCTAATTTGTGGCACAGGATGAGCCAGTAGTTCAAGATACTTTACACAGTCCGCTAGGCAAGGACAACACCTATATTGGCTATAACGTTTGACATGGTCTTTGCTACGCTTCTACCACGGTTGTACGGCTGATGATCATGCAGATGTGGAATAGCCAGGTGTGTACAGTCCAGCACAGAATCATAAATTCTCCAGGAAATATGCAATGTACCCAAATTGAGTATTGCGTGGACATGCCAAAATGGGAGGGCTGATTGGCTAGTATTTGTGGAATGTCGTAAGCCAATTTCTGGGCTCAAACATTCTTGCTTTCGGATGTACTAGTACCCAGCATTTAAAAATCAAATTGTGTGATTAATAGTGCACGCACCACACGTCCAAAAAGAAACACAAACAAATCCTAAATTTGTAAAATGTTACATCCCAAAAAAATTAAACACATGTTCCTCACCTTCTGTCACTGCCACTACGGCGATCGAATTCTCTGCGTCCTTCACGAGGGGCACCAGCTCCACGAGGACCACCGCGGCCCCGTCCACGGCCACGGCCTCTCTCTCTGGTATCACGATCTCCGAAAGATTGGGTCTCGCCACCGAAAGAAGATTCCTGGCCAAATGAGCTCTCCTCACTAAATCCACTATTGCCCTGATTGTTGCCACCCTCTCTCCGTGGTCTTCTCTCACCACCCTCACGGGGTTTGCGCTCTCTCCTTTCACCACCACGCTCTCCTCGCTCGCCGCGTGGCTGTGATGGTTTGTCGGAGCCTCTGTTTTGACCTGAAAATGTAAACACGAATTCATATTTTGGCACACTGTGCTTTCACCATCAAATGAAAAATAATAACAATACACATACCTCTGGGTTTATCGTTTGCAGAGGACTTCGGCTGGGACTTCTCAGGAGCCTTGCCCTTAGCAACGGGCTTCTTCACTTCCTTCTTCTGCTCAGTAGCTTTCTTCTCCACGCTCTGAATGATGTCTAAAGGATCATCAACCTCAACATCCTCCTCATCAGGTATGGCAAACCTGTTGGTCACACCAACACCATAGCTAGACTCCATGGTGGCGGATAGTGACGATTGCGAAGGCTGGAGAACGGATGCAGTCTCCTTCTCTCTCTCTACAACATGGACAACAAGTTTTCCTTGCCCTCACACCCGACATAACATGCAAAATGGCGAAGATTTCGCGCTAGCTAGCACCAGGGAATCGGTATTTTACGACTCCCCGGCTAGCACCCCAAAAGGCCAAAGCCGCGGGCAAAGGCCAAACTGGAGACCTCCAAGCTGCGCGGATTTTTTTGTCATTTTTGGCCTGGCCTAGCCTAGCGCCAAACGATGTTACGTGCACGTGTGCACTAGTAGTAGTACTGCTAGCAGTACTAATGGCGTCGCGCCGGCTAGCGCGTGGGACATGGGGTGGGTGCGACGGTGCGACCCACCAGCAGAAATAGTGACGTAGAATATCGAGTAAAAACTTGATTCCGTCGTGACAAAAAAGCTTCTTCATCGATCATCGCGACTCGAGACACACAACACGTCATGTCAACAGACAACAGCGCTGCATCAGCATGCAGCATGCAGTAGCCTAGGTCTACGACTATATCGACTAGGGGTGCGTTTATTATTATTATTATTATTTAAATTTTGAATAGGGCAATCCCCACAGGCCTAAGGCCTTTTTACATTTTTTGCGTTTGGTTGGTACGATCTAGAACAGGATCGAACAGCTGGTGCACATGGAACAGCCTCATGCCAACCAAACGGTACTCCAGAAACAGAGCACATTTTTGTGAAAAAATCACATTTTTGTGAAAAAATGTGCCAAACTTGATGCGCGCACGTGCGTTCTTCAAAATGTGTATGGGTCACCATGGTCACTTTGTACGGTACAACGAATCCAACCAAAAATCGTATGCACGTGATCATTTGGGACCAAAATCGATGTTCCCGCCAGGTTTCACAGTGAAAAAGGGAAACTGCTCGGTCTGCTCCGGCCTCGAGGCCGGAGCAAGCAGAACATGTTCTGGTCGACCCAGAACAGGTGCAGTCCCAACCAAACGCGCTGTTCTGGTGAATCCTGTTCTAGTTCGTACCAACCAAACGCGCCCTAGGCTTTTCCACATTATGTTTTGCATAAATTTTGCATCTTGGGGGTAAAAATGAATCATCGCGGCCCCGTTGTAAAAATGCATCTTTCTTGATTTTTGCCAGATTTTCTTCAAAAACAACAACGTTTGCGTGGTTTTTGCCAGATTTTCTTCAACAATAACAAATTTGGCGTGATTTTTGCCAGATTTTCTTAAAAACAACAAGTTTTGTAAGTGTTAGCTAAACTTTAGCCTTCACTTCAGGGTTTTTTTCTTCTGCTGGCAAGACTTGAGCTTGCTCCACACCTGACGTAACCTGACTCTTGTCAGTCTCGAAATATGCCCGGCACTGGGGCTGGCAGGCGGCAGTGCATGATGATGTGCATGCATGCACGGGTACATGTCCTGTACATGTAGGGTTCCCTGATGCCAACATGTACATGTGTACATGCTTCGAATCAGGGAGTCGTAAAATACTGGTATTTTACGACTCCCTGCTTCGAATGAATTATTTGGCAGCCATCTTGTTGCCATGGCAACGGGTGAATAATTTTCGCACATTGGGTGATTTTTTGAATTTTTTTAGATTTTTTTTAAATCTATCCATTTTTGAGAATAACATCATTCCCCCCAAAAATCGAGTTTTACATCCACATCTTTCCAATCATGATTTTTTCGAATAATGTGGAAAAGCCTATGCTACGAGACTCAACCGTGATGTTTTTCGATTTTGACAGCATGTATTATAGTTTTTATACAACTTACTTACAAGGCGAGGACGCATAGTGCTCCTGACTACAACCATAACCTGAAAAGCATGTTAAAAACTACTAAGCAAGGCTTCTTTATATAATTATACCACATACGAGACTCGTAGGCTGAGTACCGGTACTTTTGCCGTTTTGTCTTGCTTGCAAGCTTGGTAGATGAAGCTCGCGAAGCTGCTGCTTCAATCAAACTGAAGGAAAATGCGAAAATATGAAAAGCTCCCAAAGCTATAAAATACAGTGTAGATGGCTGTGTGTAAGTTACTTTCACAGTTTCAGTGAGCACTCAGCACTGCGGCAACAAAATTTCAAGCGCTCGCCGGCTCAGTCTAGTTACAACTCAAGTTGTAATGAATAATTTTTCATTTTTTGATTACAGTGAAACCTCGTTAAGAAGAACACTGATAAGACAAACTGCGGCTTCCGCTTTAGAAGAACTAGTGTCCATAACTGTATTGGATAGAACACTGTGTATTCCGACTGGGTATACAAATTACAATATGGATAACTGAGAAGAACTCCCGTTATTGCAAACAAATACCACCGGTCCCTTGGTGTTCGTCCTAAAGAGGTTTGACTGTATTTCCATTGTATTTTCATACCGTCTGGCTTTGGCAGGCACATGTGGGTTGGTCTAAATCAGTAAAGAGTCTTTTTAAAGGGGAAGTTAAGGCAAAAATCAAAATTTCACCAGTTGTAGTCTTCGGGGTGCTGAGTCGAATGGTCGTGGTCCGAGGAAGCTGAGACGCTCCCTTCCTACTTTAATCCCAATCGAACTCGCACACTTCCACCGAAACTGGGTGACTGCGCCCTACTAGATGGGGATTTGTATGCAAAATGTCACTAAAAGCGCCATTTCGTTCTTATAAAAGCATGGATGACCGCGATTGGCCCATATGTTGTAGTCTTTTGGACGCTGAGTCGATTGGTTTTGGTCCGAAAAGGCTGCGATACAGCGTTCCTCCTTTATTCCCAATCGAACATGGTTGAACAAGCGGTCACATGCTCCTGCGTACACCAGTCACCTGGTCGCGGTGCCTGCGGGGTACAACTTACTAGCCTGTTTGACCTTTTTTGGGTGCAGTCCTGTCACTCGAGTTGAACCCGAGTTGAACCTTGGTGTGAAAGTTGTCGCCTGCTGGCGTGGTGACCAGGTGATTTGGGCACCCAGGAGCACGTGACCGCTTGTTCAACCATGTTCGATTGGGAATAAAGGAGGAGCGCTGCATCGCAGCCTTTTCGGACCAAAACCAGTCGACTCAGCGTCCAAAAGAGTACAACATATGGGCCAATCGCGGTCATCCGTGCTTTTATAAGAATGAAATGGCGCTTTTAGTGACATTTTGCATACAAATCCCCATCTAGTAGGGCGCAGTCACCCAGTTTCGGTGGAAGTGCGCGAGTTCGATTGGGATTCAAGTAGGAAGGGAGCGTCTCAGCTTTCTCGGACCACGACCATTCGACTCAGCACCCCGAAGACTACGACTGGTGAAATTTTAATTTTTGCCTTAACTTCCCCTTTAAAGACTAGATTGAGAAACCGTCGAGAGGTGCAAGTATCAAGACTTGCTTGGAAGCGGGTGGATTTTTCCAGCCATGCTGCGAATCATGGAGCTTGTAAGGAACTCCATTCGATAGGCATCCATTGTTTGCCTTCAAGTATTAGTTCAAGTGGAGAATCCTCAGAAAAAATGTCAAAATAATAGTGTCCCAAGAAAACGTTTTGTTCAGTTGCCATGGCTACGCTGCCAGTTTAGCAGAGATAAAGTATCAACTATCATGATTCAGGACCGCCGGAAGCAGTTTCCGATTCCGGTCATACCATAGTCTTTTATACTTTTTGTGTGATATGGCGCCAAAATACGCCCTCCTCAGCAGTACTTGAAGCATGCGTTGGTGGCCACAAAGTTGGTCCGGCGATAACCTGACCAACTGGACTGGTTCCGGCGGCCCTGCGATTATAGTCGACTACAACACTTGTAGACTGGGCTGCTTTAACGAGAATGTCAGTCAAATTACTACGGCCAGCCATAGTCTTAGTAGTTGAGTAAGTCAGCACCACCACTTGAAATGATTTGAGAGAAGTTCCGACTCAAAACTGAAACTAACTCTTGTTTTCAAATAATTTAATATGCTACTATACTATAAGTATAAAGTATTTGGAAAACAGCCAAGAATTAGACAGTCTGCAATCACTGCCTTGGTTAGAATAGCTGCGGTAATGAGGGCACGCCTGAGGCCGGGCTGGCTTGCTGTGCTGTACGCGATATGCATTCTCAGCCACTGGAGCACCAGCATGGGACTGTATGCATGCATTGGCGAGCGTTTCAACGGATACCCTGAAACAGGGAGTAGTAAAATACCAGTATTTCACTACTTCATGCCTTGACTCTTGAGCTGCTCGGAGGTACCGAATGGAATTTGCTTTTGGAGCGAACCTGCAGTCTAACGTTTCAATTACCGTTTCACTGGCCCCTGTTTTTTTAGATAAGGGGTCGTCCATAATTATCAATCTTTTGCACGAAACGAAAAAAAGTCTTGTTGTGGGTGGGTCGAGACGAGTTTCGTTTTGAAAAATATTGATACGGCTGAAACATCAATCCATTCCAGCTGCAAGCCAATGTATGTTTCATTCAGGGGGGGGGGGCAGGGTCATGACTATTACACTAGTCCAATCTGTTTCGTTCCATGAACTTTGAAATTAGCGATAATGCCGACTGGCCTCGAAGCACGAGAAGCTCACGGTTTTTCTGGAGACTTGTACTCAATCTCTTCACAGCCAAATCAAGGCTGACCACGACTTTCAAAGTCTATTTGCGGTATATTATTTTTCTTTTTACCGTTTCAAGTTTGGCCCAGGATTTCACATACTAGTACTCTCAAATTCATTGGGACAACGATTCGAATTTTGTTGTGGAGACTTTTAGAGCGTGGAATGTCGGATTTTCCCCAAATTTCACAGGGACAGTGGAATTCAAAACCTCGTGATTATTCAGTACGGTCTTTTCAATCACCTTACCTTGTGAGGCTGTGGCAATGTGAGCAGAGCAGCAATAGCCACATTCCAGTACATGTCACATGGTATTTGTAAGCCGCTTGCTCGATAGTTAACCAGGTATGATGATGATGATGATGATGATGATGATGATGATGATGTCATCACATCACAAGGCCGCAGAGGACACACTGTATAAAAAAAAGGACAACATGTTAGGAGTCACAGTACGGCATTAACGGTGATGAGTCCAACAATGCAACTAGATCCTACAGTATACAGTCAGACAGCACCACAATAAAAATTCAGTCGTCGGCCCGTTTATATGTCAACGATCCTAAAATAAACCAAAACACATACCCATACTCACGCAACAACAACTTATTGGTGATGGTGCCATCGTGAGTAGGGGTGCGCGGATTATTCCCGGAATAATTTGGGAATACTATCGTTGAGAAAATGTTGGGAATTTTAGGGGAATTCTATCGATCTTTTGCGAGATCTATTGACCTTCAGAAGAGTTTTCGGGGAATTCTGTCAATTTTGACCTGCCAGAGGCCCAGAGAACAAGCGCGCATCCATGGACGCAGCCTGAGTACATAGTAGCTGTGTACAGTCATGTAGATCTAGTACATGTAGTGTAGATCCTGCATGCAGTGATCACGTGCCTGACCGTCCATTTTGCATACTAAAGAGCATGCGCAAGGCACGGTTCGTGCTGGGGTTCTTTTTTTGGGGGGGGAATTCTGGAGAATTTTTTCGATGTTTTGGGAGAATACTTTCGAAGTTCCGCGGGAAATGCCCGAAAGCATAATATCGGGTGCGTGCGAGCATAATCCGCGCACCCCTAATCGTGAGAATAAAGAATTGAAACAACAACAAAAAATTGAAACAACAACAAACGAGAATAAAGATTTCAAACAAACAACAACCCCCAAAAGAAGTGAACACTGCCAGGCTTCGTGAGTACTTGCAGGAATGTGACACACAACCAACACTACAGTATCAACAACATGCAGGTGAGGTTTCCAGGTGTGTATGGTGAAGGTCTACCCATGGATGCACCGGAACTTTTAATTAATCAACCTCGTCTGCAATGAGGACCTTCTTTCAACAGCAGTCATGGATGATCGCATTTTGACTGTTGAGCAGCTAGCGAGCTGAGAAAAGGGCGCCGTGGAAGAAGTTGGCAAAAAGGCATAGGCACCACCACTAACAAAATTTCTCCCTAAAAAGCCATCTATCTATGAATGGATTCCAACTCAGAGACACATGCACTGATTGGGGGAACTGGGAATTCTTACCCCCCCCCCCCCCTCACCCACCCAGGACCCTACCGACCGGTCCGTAACCGGCTGCAGGCAGAAACACTGCTTCTCACACAGGATGCCATTTGCCTTGCGATGCGATGCGCGCTCACTTTCATACATGCTCATGTATACATGTATACATGCATACAGTTTTAGTTTTATGCCCCCTCGCCTTGGCTTGGTTGGGCACACATTCTGGTTAGCGTCAACGTTGCTGTGCTTCTCGCAGTTCATTGGTTCTGGCGGCCACTCTGCCTCACGAGCGGAGCTCAGAGCCTGTGACTGGGTCAGTCGCTCTGATCTCCGCTCATGATACCAAAAGAGGTCTACCAGCTAGCTGTCCTGAAATTGAGTACAAGTACATTATTATGTACATGTACTACATACATACACACTGTATTTCAAATCTGACACAAAATTGAAAATTGATGCAACTGTGTCAAGTTGAGTCTTGTATTCAATACAGCTACATCTGCCCATTCCACTACCACTATTGGAGGCGCGTAGCACCGTCGTTGGAGGTGGTCCGGTCGGAGCGGAGGGGTGTCCCCGGGAAACATTTGAAATTAGGGTGCAAAATCCTGCATTCTGGGCACTTTTGGCCGGACCGGCTGCTACGCCCCTGTACTGGACAGCGAGCATCGCAGCTGAACGTTGCCTTTATGCAACGTCACGTACAAGTCAGTCTATATACATTGTACATGCAGATGAGCACGATGACTGTCTCTGGATGGTACAAGTAGCAGAGCATCAACATACAGGTAAAATCTGGCTCAGCAGTCATTTTTGATGAGTGAACTGTGAACACAAGAATGACAAGATGCCTATGCAGCTTGAGTTATCCAGAAAATTCATTTATCCAACAGTGTCCCGTCCTGAGGGTGATGTCGGGATAACTGAAACACGGCTGCACTGTAGCATGGTATACAGTCTCGGACAACTAGATGTTTGGACCTTGTTACATGTACCGTAAAATCCCGCCAGAGCACCCTGTCTTTCCCATCCGCCCTCCCTGAGTCACTTCTTGCCAGGGATGTGATTGATTGTATCCTCGTATGACTCTGTCACAGTCTGTGATGCTGTACTGTACTGCTGTACTGCTCGACCCCCGTTGGAAATGTACGCAACAGTGCCCACCCTCTTGACCAGGGATCGCACAAACCCTGACTTTTGAGGGGTCTGTACGACTCTTGGCTCTTGACCTTTGGTCGGTGTACGAGATGCACGAACAGTTTTCGTAGGGTGAGTACTTTTTCATGTAGTACTGAATGCGGCAAGTAGGACTCGCCCATCCGCCCCTCCCCACCTGAACCTACTCGAAGCATCGAGGAGGTAGGGGCGCTCTGGCGGGATTTTACGGTACATGTAGGTCTCATCAGCGGAGCTCACACTCAGGGTGACTGGCAGAACTGATTGCAATGAAGTCTATAAACAACAAAGCATTTATTCTGGCTCAAAGGATCAAGTTCAGAGGCAGTCATCTAACTGAGAGAAGCACAGCGAGCTTTACACGAGGGCAGGTAACGTTACCGTTAACCAGAAACAGCGCTCAACCAAGCCGAGGCTATCGCCGCCGGACAGCTAGCTGCTTTGACCTTGTCAGAGTGATCGATGGAAACGAAGCCCTATGAACAACAAAGCATTTTTAAACCGGCAGCTCAAGCACGCGTGTGTGTATGTGTGAGTGAGTGTGTGTGTGTGTGTGTGTGTGCGTTTGACTATGTGTGTGTGGTGTGTGTGTGTGTGTGTGTGTGTGTGCAGGAGCGTCGGAAGCGGTGCAGCAGGTGCGGCTTTGTTATCTCGTGACTTTTGAAGCAATGAAATATGGGCTATCTGGACCCAATTTCGCTAAAATAGTCCCATTGGAGGACCCCCGACCCTCCACCTATCCATGCCGCACCAATGCCGAATACCTTCTGTTCCGACGCCCCTGGTGTGTGTGTGTGTGTGTGTGTGTGTGTGTGTGTATGTATGTGTGTGTGTGTGTGTGTGTGTGTGTGTGTGTGTGTGTGTGTGTGTGTGTGTGTGTGTGTATGTGTGTGTGTGTGTGTGTGTGTGTGTGTGTGTGTGTGTGTGTGTGTGTGTGTGGTGCTACCTTCCCTTCAAGGGGTGTAAACTACTCACTGCCACTGACTGATACCACCAACAAATTTCCGAATTCAGTTCATTCTTTGCAATCTAAATTGGCAAGCCAGGAGCACGTTGGAATATGGGTCCCACAAGAAGACATGTGCGGTGCATACATGTACAGTAGAACCTGTCAAGGCGACCACCTGTCACTGAGGACCAAGACAAGGGACACATTTCCAGTCAAGTGCGGGTACATGGTAATCCTGGACAAGGAGACCTAGTACCTGTGCACAGGGACCACATTTGTAAGATCCCTTGATTGATGATGAGCAGTCTCCCAAGACAGGTTTCACTGTATACATGGCAATGATCCACTATCCAGGCAAAATAACTTTTCTTCTTCAGACATTAAGTGGCCGCATGATCCGTTCCAGAACTGAGAAGGCAGAACGGCTGAAGTGACTAGTGAGTAGTGTCTCACTGCAGAGCTAGAGGCAGAGTCCAGAGCACTGCACTTACCACCATTGTCAGCCGCTGAGTGGATGTCCTGCACAGCTGTACCACTGGTGTACAGCCGCTCAACATAACAGTGTCAAGGCAGATTAACGCCAGTGAATCCGAGCTCATCCTTCTCTCTCCTGCTACTCCCTTGAGAAGCTGATGATGATCTTACCAAGCCTTGGTGGGGTGGGACTCCTAGCTGACCTAAGTCTTGGTGGTAGTCGTGACTAGACAGGCAATGGGCTATGGTCCGTATGGACAGTCGGCTGCAGTCCGAAAGGCTGAACTAAAAAAAGTAAAACTATGGACATAATTATGATAGTGTCTGGTGATACATGTAGATCTACGTGACACAGTCAGTGCAGTGCCATTATTTTGGTGCCATCAATCACTAGTACTTCAGTACTTGTGTGACACCTGAAATTATTTCAATCATCACTTCATCTGTTCAAGTGCAGAGCCTACACAGCAGGCAAGTCGACGAATCGATGTATGACTTGCTGTTGTGATGTCTATCATAATCTACGGACGTCCGGACGTAGACTCTACGATCGATAGCTCCACACAATCACAACGACACAAGATTCACAATCATGGTCTTCTACTAGTACAGTCTCCAGATCCACGACGCAGAACAGTCAGTGCAAAGACCTCGTAACTAATTACTTTACTTCTTATATGTAATATTATTAGATCTGATCTACTTTTCACACAAGAAAACCAAACACTCGCATCGCTACACATACGTACATGTCCAGGTGCTGCAATATTCGATGAGTAGATCTAGGATAAGTAGAGCGGAAGTCTGGGGAAGCAAGCTCCCAAGATCCTGGCTGCTGTGCTTTTCCTGCTCACCGATTTACTGCACTCCGGCTTCGCCTACACTACAGACTACACTAGTGACAGTCGAGTCAGTCACCATGGTCACTGCACTAGCCCAATGGCATTGCCATGCGGGCAATGCTTGCAAAATAATGCAAGCTTGCTGCGACGACGCTGCGCTGGCCTGGCGCTGTCACTAGCACTCACAGCTCAATGTCAATGCAATGAAGTGTCACCAGGTCACACTCTCAGTCCAACACAGTTACACACTACACAGTCCTGCATCTGGCCTGGCTAGGCTGTATTCTGTGCACACGGCCACATGGACAGGGAGCGTGCGTGATTATGACTTGCGACTTGCTGGCAACACGGGAAACGCTTTGGATTTGAGACATTGGGCTAACGTTTCGTTACGAGGTCTCGTTTGCCCTAAATAATTAGCGTTCTTCTTTGCCTTGAACTTCTTTGTTCGTTTTCGTCCGTCGTCACTTTGGTATTGCCCACGAGAATGCTGTAATTGTCTTATTTACACAAGCAGTAGTGCTAGTGGTGAAGTGGAGAGGAGTGCTGCGCGAAACGCCCAGCCATGGCTACCACCCTTCGAAAAACCCTTTTCAACTCGGTGAGAGCTGGTTCTGGCGCGCAGTCGGCCGATAGAGGTGGGTCTTGCTATGTGAATGATGCCGTCCTTACAGGCTATTGAGATCTGCGAAGGCAACAAAAGACAAAAAATTCCCCGCACATGTGACACTCACGTCGGTGTCTTCTCCTCTCGTGTGTGATCAAGGGAAAGAAATTAACACCCAGCAGGTATCTTCCATTGCTGATGAAGACTTCAGCGGCAAAGGCGTGGACTTGAACGTCAAGGTATGTATGTTTGAGATGTTTCGGATAAGTCTCTCGCTTCGTAGCTATCGAGTATCGGTTACGCCCTGGGTTTTAGTGATATTATCGTACATAACATATGTGCCGTATTTTTGCTATGCCCGCATGCGCTGCAGAATCTGCACTACCCGACGTGACTTGTGGAGTCCAGCGTCTCAAAAATTATTACCGCTGGCGGAAGCCATAGCAGCTTGTTTCTTGCGTTGCGAGCAGTCGCATTAGTCACTATGTTTAGACTATAAATATGGGGATGGCAAATGTTAGTAATTGCATTAGCAAGACATAGCCATTGTTCGTAAACAGACCCATGGGAGTATCACCAAGTGGTGCAGCTCCTAAATGACCTACGTTAGTCGTTAGATAATTATTGTGTGGCGTCTGAAATCGGAAGGGCTAATGTTTTCCACAATATGTGCACGTTGTGCAATACATGTGAAGAAGTATCAATAAACTTAAAATGCTCTAAAAGTCTAAAGGGAGTGGGGTGCAACGTGTGATCTGTATTACTATTGCTGGTTCTATCTCAGTGACAATTTAGCTCAAATTTTATCATGAGTGTGAACATGAAAACTTGATAACTTGCATCCAGGAAAACGTCGGAATGAAATTCAGACTCAGGCTGAGCATTGTATGGGAAAGTTTCAAGTGTCTGCACACAGAATTTAGTAATAGTAGCGTTTGATTCATCTCTGCATATCGGTGGTGATTGGGGGGGGGGGGGGGTAAAGGCTAGACAAGCTGATGGATATGTCTGCGTGCTTCCGACTGCCTGTGTATAATGGTACAATCTTCTCGGAGAAGAATGCTACCACCCAATTCAGCCTTTCATGGGGCCAAGCTTAACACTCACTGTTGGCAAGTGTTATTGTTAAAAAAAATAACACTCACCATTGAACAGTGAGGATCGCAACAGCTATTGCATTGCATGACGAACGAATTGCGTATGGTTGGACAGCTCCACACAGCCCGCCCAAGAGGCTCATCTGTATGGCGCCACCAACGTTACGTTGAATGTGAATTAGACTTTTATCATGGAAAGTGTATTCACTTGGCTACGCTACCTTGCTCCAGCTTGGTCCGAGGCAGCCGAATCATGAACCAACGTCTTACCAACGTCTTATCAAACCCCGTTTCCGGTTGTAGCGGAACGAAGAGGAAATGTCAATGAGTTCAGCTAAGGTCTAGTATCATCATCAGCTTAGCTGAAATGTGCTAGCCTCGTTTGCAGCAGGATGTAGTGGATAGGCGTGAGTAGCTGGCACAATATCATCTACAGCACAACCTGTGTGTGCCAGACCCTGTACCAAGCGGAATCCTGTATTGACCGGACGAATGTCCATGCACCAAAGTGCTGTGGATCGAACGTGCATCCCTGGATCAAGCGGAATCCTGTCATATCAGGACAGTTTCCGCTGCACAGAAGGCGCTCAGTCGGGCAGGTTTTACTGTACCTGTTCCCGTCAGTGGTGTATGCTGACGTAGGACAATGTCCACGTAGTGTACCAGATACTCTTCTTCAGTGAGGTCCCTAAGTCATGCCAGTGCTTTGTGTTATGTTTTCATCACTACTTTAGTACTATGGCCGCACTGAGATGTCGAAGCCCCGCGGTGACAAGTTGGCACATAATGCAATGCACGAACTGAAGGTATGGGCACTGCTGTTATGTAGGTGTTGGTATGTTGTGGTTCTGTGCTGAAGGTAAAACTGGATTTGCAGGCTAGTCCCATCTCGGTGTGTGTGTGTGTGTGTGTGTGTGTGTGTGTGTGTGTGTGTGTGCGTGTGCGTGCGTGCTTGTGTGCGTGTGTGTGTGTGTGTGTGTGTGTGTGTGTGTGCGTGTGTTTGCGTGTGTGCATGTGCATGCCTGAAGGGTTGCCTGCCTCGGTATCATGCATCCATGTGCATGTGTGGAGGATTGGGGTGCTATGGTCAGGGCTAGAGAGACCATTTGCCCATCAGACAAGTGACCCGGTGGTTTCAACCACTGAAAGTTTGTGTCATTCACTGTGACAAGTTAGTCCAAGGTAATTGGGACAATGCATAGGCAGCGATGAGTAACTTTGAAAGAAGTTCTAAAAAGCTAATTGTTACACTGTTCTGGTCAGCAAATTGCTGGATACAGACATTACTCACGGTTGGGTGTATATGCACAGTATTCTGGTTGGAAAAGTCATAATTGTATGTGTGCCACTGTGCGTGTCCACGCATATGCGTATGGTGCCCGCCTGTTTACACCTGTCTACCCACATTCGTGTGTGTGTGTGTGTGTGTGTGCGTGTGTGTGTGTGTGTGTGTGTACATACACGTGCATTCTGAATATGCAGCATCAGTTGGCAGCTACCTCTGGTCACAAGCAGCGCGTCACGATGAACCTCAGCATGTTTGGAGTGGCACTGTTCGACGACAAACGCTCGGTACGTCCTGATTGGTGTTGAGCGTTAGCACTTCTTTCAGAATTTCTAGTCTCTCTCTCTCTCTCTCTCTCTCTCTCTCTCTCTCTCTCTCTCGTTCGAACTCAGGGGTATTGCTTGTAGAGCCCTCATTTCATCTCCAGACCAGTGCGGTACATCTCATGCTTTAAAGTTGGGAGTGATAATAATCCACGTGACGGTGCTATAAACCTGGAAAAGACTGTGTATTGGCTGTCATAGAGTCTTGGAAGCAATCATGATGCCGCTGCATGTACTATTCCTGTACTGGATTCATGCATGCACCACCCACTTTCCCACTGCTGATTGCCTCAGGCGTTGTCACTGTCTCCACATCACAGTTGTATCATTGCCACATGTGTGTGGCTGTCACCAATTGATCTCAGTCCCCAGGGTGTAGTGTCCAGCCAGTCACCCGTGTACTAGCATCTGTGTGTGGGGGGGGGGAGTGTATGTGTGCGTGCACGTGTATGCGGGAGGCATGTGTGTGTGTGTGGGGGGGGGGGGGGCATGTGTGTGTGTGTGTGTGTGTGTGTGTATTTGTGCATGCGTAGACGCAAGTCATTGGTAACCAATGTGTGCCAGCATTCAATGCCTATTAGACTGACCATTTGCAGTGTTCACTTTGCCTTTGTACCACTGTAGAAAGAGATTGCACGGCATGCGGTCAAGGCAATCTCATTCATGACCATCGACCCGGATGATACAAAGGTGTTTGCCTATATCGCTGCCGAGGGGCCAAATGAGCAGAATCCAACGCGAATCTTTCGCCTTTACTGCTTCAAGTCTGAAAAACAGGTATACACTGCAGTACATATAGGAGCTTGGAGGGGTGTTGTGAGCCACTGCTACGGTAAATGCCTTCGTGGCCAGTGCTAGTGTGTGAAGACAGCTCCCGAGATGATAATACCGTATGTGTAGCATAGTGCAGTGTGGAATCAGGCTGTAGCTGTATGATATACCATATGTGTAGTATATAGTGCAGTGTGGAATCAGGCTGTAGCTGTATGATGCGGTCTATGCCATGCAGACGCACTGTGCCGGCGGATTGGGTGCTGGGTGTGAAAACACTGTGAATCCCGCCGCACGTACACTTTCTTTTCTTTTCTTCGTAAAATAGGAATAATGGGTTCTTTCTTGGTTAGTTCTGACTGCATGTCGTTGATCACTAGTGCATAGCAGATGTGGCTATGCACCCAGTCACCAGTCACCCAAGTCTCTCACTCCTACTCAAGTTCTGTGCATTGCAGCTTATCCGCTCTGGTATGTTTTTCGGCTCTGGTTTCATAGTCGCGGTGTGGTCCTAACTCTCCACATGTATGTAATCACCCTGCTCCTGCATGGCCTTGCTCTGATGTCACAGTATGTAATTACCCTGCCCCTGCATGGCCTTGCTCTGATGTCACAGTATGTAATTACCCTGCTCCTGCATGGCCTTGCTCTGATGTCACAGTATGTAATTACCCTGCCCCTGCATGGCCTTGCTCTGATGTCACAGTATGTAATTACCCTGCCCCTGCATGGCCTTGCTCTGATGTCACAGTATGTAATTACCCTGCTCCTGCATGGCCTTGCTCTGATGTCACAGTATGTAATTACCCTGCCCCTGCATGGCCTTGCTCTGATGTCACAGTATGTAATTACCCTGCTCCTGCATGGCCTTGCTCTGATGTCACAGTATGTAATTACCCTGCTCCTGCATGGCCTTGCTCTGATGTCACAGTATGTAATTACCCTGCTCCTGCATGGCCTTGCTCTGATGTCACAGTATGTACTACCACAGAAGATCAACCTGCTACTTAGTACTTGTGCTCGTGGCCTTGTACTGCTGAATGTGTCTGTGTAGACTCCGCTCATCACCAAGAGCCTGATGCGCGTGTTCAAGCTGGCGCAGGCGGAGAAGGAGCGGAAGGGAGGATCCGTGAAGGACCGCGGTGGTAAGATGGCACGGCGACCAGTCGCTAATGGCAATGCGTACAGTGTATTTTCCGGTGTATTAGCCGGTGGACTACATTTCTGATTTCAAAGGTCCTAGTGGTCGGCTTAGACAGGTTTCACTCTACGTGTTCACTGCTATTTCCTTTTGTGGTAGATTCTGTCTTCTATTACGATGGCATATTTAGTTCTATTTTTCCTTTCAAACTCTTGGCCTGTTGGCAAAGGAGGGTCAAGAAGAAATCAAAAGTGCCCAGGCCTGAGGGATGCACATTGTGTACTTTGTCAATAGTATCATCATTGGTGTTTTCAACACTGTTCTCTCCTTGCTCTCGTCTGCCAAATGCAGGCTCACAACTGTCAAGAAAAGGAACCACCAAAAACTCGGTACGTTCACTCACTGCACAGTTACTGCTTGGCTTGCTTCCGGTGTTGGCAATGTAGATATTTCTACATGTATTGCTGAATAGCACTATGCGGTGTATGAATGAGCGATGGGAATCATCGAGGGTCAGATATGCAGAAGTGGTCTCTCATGGTCAGCCACTGAGAAGTGGCCGCCTTGCCTAAAAGATCTTCCTAGCAGGGATCACGAGTTCTATCCAGTGTTGGGTTTAGTGATTACTCTGTTTGGTTTTTTTTTTTTTAACTGCGAGGGTCATAACCATGCATTCCATGTAAATATCATTAGCATACTGAGATGTATGATGTGCTTGACGGCTATAACGTTTGGGCTGAATACGCATAGCATTAAAAATACTAATGGCTTTCTGATAACTTAAGTTATGGCATATTGGCTGTTCACTTGCATGGCTTGGTATGCAAGCGTCAGAGCCGCAGGGATTTGTATGTTGAATGATCATGCTGACTAATCCGCTGAAGTGTGTGTGTGTGTGTGTGTGTGTGTGTGTGTGTGTGTGTGTGTGTGTGTGTGTGTGTGTTTGTATGCATGCATGGGTATAATTATGATAAATGAGTACACTCTGTGGTCTCAGTGATGAATGTCTAAAAATAAAGTCAACGCCAGGCATTGAAACATTTTCTCATGCAATTCACAGAGGTCAGTTTTAATCATGATAATGGCTATAGAAAACAATGGACAATACCATGCATCGTGAGTAGCTGGTGTGAATAGGGTGAAGGGTTGCATGGAATGTTAAATGCATGCATGCAACACTGGTTATAGTGTGTCGTGCAATAGGCCTGTCCAAGGGTATGGGCCCTGTATGATTTTGTACAAACTAAGCCGGTGTCTGGAATGAGGTTAGACTGTGCTTGTGTCCTGCATGACACTGCATGATTGTATTAAATACTAATGTGCCTAATTCGTATGACATGATTGAAATCCTCTCATTCTTATCAGGACGCGGAATACGGCACGTCGACCGCTAGCAGTGCTAGCACTCCGGCACACACATTCTCACCAGCATCGCCCGCTAAGCCGCGCAACGAGCAGGGCCGTAAAGCCATGCTCGCCTCTGCACCCAACCTCATAGCCTCACCGTCTAAAAGCAGACCAGCCGCTGTGCGCTACTCGCCAGAGATGAAGTCCACGCAGTCGTCCTCCAGTTCTTCGCTATCACCGTCCTCGTCCATCAGTAGGAAACCTCGCAGTTCTAGCGAGGCTCAGCTCCATTCTGCTGCAACACCCACACTATCAGTACAGCGGCCACGGCGCCGTGCGTCCGGCTCCTCCGGCAATTCACTGCCAGGAACAGCGGACAGGCGCATGACCTTGCAGGAGCTGAGTGTGAGCGCGAATGACGTCCGCGACACGGATAGCGTTGCTGCCGCTGCCACCGTGTGCTCCACCGACGGTGTCGTGCGACCACAGAGCTGTGATATGAAGCCGGCCAGTGCTAGTGTGGAGCGCCCTCGTAGCTGCGATGCTCGGGCCAGAAGCCAGGATTTGCTGAACACCAGCGTAGGAAGTGACCTGATGTCGTTCAAGCCTGGCAGACCGGTGGAAGAAGCTGCGACATCAGCGTCCGAACCTGTGACGTACTTCCCACTGAACGTAGTGCTGAGCAGCCCTGAGTCAGAGCGACCCGTGGCTACACGGAATGACACTGGTTCGAATGACTTGCTAAACCCATGTGATCTGTTTGCCACGCCTAACACTCTCAACTTGCTTGGTGATATTCTACCGCCATCACCAGCACAGACGGCGGGTAGTTACCTTGCTGCTTCTAATGTCCCTGGTACTTCAGCGGCCTCACAGCACAATCACCTTCAAGGCACTCTGTCAGGTCATAGCTTGGCCTCGGTTTCGTCAGCGCACGATCGATCATTGCCGTTATCAGCCACAGGCAGCAGCGAGTCTCCTAGCCCCATCCTGGGCTCGCACAGCTACCGATCGCGCGCACGACCAGCTTCGCTCGCACACCGTCTTCTCTCGCCGTCAACGTCAGCATCTCGCACTGTGTCCTCTTCCCCCGCTGTGTCCTCGTCTCCCGCAGTGACGCCGGCGTCACTTACAGAGAGCCCCATGCTCGGGCAGATGGAAAGTCCGTTCGGCAGCACGGCATCGGTGCCCATCCAGTCGCAATGGGCCGTGTTTAAAGAGAACGCCGTCAAGGCTGGCTCCTGTGGCAATCTATTGGATAACTTCACAAGCCAGGTAGTGGTGTGCTACTGTGGTATTGTGCCGTGGTTGTGGTGACATGCCTGCCTGTCTGTTTGTCTCCCCGTGCATGTGTCGTTGGCATGTGTTTGCCAGATGTGCGTATATGTTTATGAAGTGTGTACCTTGGTGTACGTGCCGATGTGAGTGTGTGCAATGGTGAACCTATGCATTTCTTTGCTAAAATGACTAACAAAATTAACTCGTTCCCACTATGCATTGGCAGTGTGCTCTCTCGACGTCTGTTGCATGTATATTTGCTACTGCAGGTCTTGTTAATGTGTGTACTGTCCAGTGTTGCATGGGCGACCTTGATGCATGCTTGCTAATCATGCATACACACAGCAGCACCACGTTACTCTTGACTCTCTCAACCATGTGCATATGATCGGGGGTGGGGGTAGCAGCTAACAGGCGTATATTTCAGTCTGTTTCATGGCGTGACAAAGTGTGCCGCTGGGCTATATACTTATATTATTTTGATACGGAGTCTGGGTTTTACTTGCTACTTCGGCTGAAATAATCGTGTAGGCTTGTAGCTTGAGCTGCCTACCTTTTATGTACATGTACATGGCATGTGAACCACTTTTGATGATAGTATGATTGTGTGTATCCTTCGTTCAGCCCCTACCGCCATTGCCACCACCGGGCGAGGCGAAACCGACCGATGAGTCACCATACGCCACTCTGTCGTCCACTGTATCGCCCACGTTGGCCAAGACGCCCAGTAACCGCAACAGCCTGGCTCTGATCGATTTCAATATGGCCCAGGTGGAGCCTGCGGAGACAACGGCAGCACCTCCCGTGACGGAGGAGCAGGCGGCGCCATCCGCAAATCTCGACGCAGGAGACAGCACCTATGCGACAATAAACGTAGGTTCTGAAGCCGGTTTGGATGGATTGTGACCATCAGCTGCTGTGCATGCAGGGGTGATGGAGATACAGTCGAATGTCACTTATCCGACCACTTCGGGAATCAGGCATGTTGGATAACTGGATATGTTGGATAACTGATATCATTTTTATGTGCATTTATGGCTGGATTACACTGATTTATGTACACAATACCCAAATAATATTCATGCATATTCATGAATTGCTCCATGTACACATACATGTTAGCATACAGTCAACTTCGCTAATAACGACTGCGGATATAACGACAATTCGCGAATAACGACAGAATTTCCATGCCCAGAGCAAAGTCCCATCCAACTGTAATACATATAATGGGACTTCGGGTATAACGACACTTCGCGAATAAGGACACTTTTCTGATGCCCCGCCGAGTGTCGTTATACGCGAAGTTGACTGTACTTGACCACATCTACTTCAAGTAAATGCATATTACACCGTATAATATACACACAAAAAAAACAATTTTTTAAAAGAATTTTACTGTTGAGAGTCATAAAATTACCACTCCCGGGCTTGTCGGATAACCAATGACAATGTGCTCGGATAACTGGCGACCGGATAAGTGACATTCGACTGTACGTGTGTATCGAAGTTATGTATCTAGCTCTGGTGGTGATACGCACACTGTCATTCAGCATGAATAATGTGTGTGTGTGTGTGTGTGCGTGCGCGTGTGTGCATGCTTGTGTGTGCGTGTGCATGTACTTTTTGTGTGTGTTTGTATGCATGTTACCCACTTCCACCCATGGGTGTGGTGTTGTGTGGATGGAATCATTGACACTGCTACAGCGAGGGTCCAAGGTTAGTTTCTCCTGGCCAAGGTTTCTCGGTTGTTGGCAGGGGATGCATCCTATAAACGCTCTTTGTGCTGTCCAAATTGGATGCGTTTTCAATGTACACTTGTCTGTGTTCTGGAAAAAAAACATTTGTCGTGCTTTCCCCGCATCACTGCTATATGCATGCACTGTGCATTGACTCGGTATCATGTTTTTCACCGTGTACGTGTAATATGTGTATGTTTGCAGAGTAATTTCACGCTGGCGCAGTTTGGTCTCATCCTTGCTTCTATAAGCGACACGACTGCGCTTCCAGCACCCATCGGAGCACCGTTCATGGACGTCGCAAGCAACCCGTTTGAAGAGAGAAAGGTCGAGGTACGCTCCGAGATACCAGCGTCCACGTCGGGCCAAACCGTCCGCGCCTCGACCATCATGACGTTCGATCCCGTCTTCGGCACGACCGGCGGTGAGCAACAGCCCTCTGCTGACGGCTTTGAGACCGACTTTGCATCATTGGGGGCTGATCCCGCCGCTGCGGCCGATCCAGATTCACAGGTTTATGCCGTGCCTCGCTTCCCACCCATCCGTGCCGTCCTGGGAGATGATGAATGCGACACTGGGAGGGTAAGTATTAGCAGTGTGCAGGCTTGTGAATGTCATCAGATTGATGCATAGTGGTATGTCTAGACTGGTGTGTTGTCATTATGTATAGGCTTTGTTTTCATAGCTATGCTGGATGGCCAGTAGTGCTTGCCGTACGAACGTGTGATGCTGCGGGAAGAGTTCCGCGCATATGCAGCGGATCGAATAGGAGAACCCAGGGCCAATCACTTCGTGTTGCATGGCGTGGGTGCTGCGTGTACACTGTGGGGATTGATCCTCAGCACTGACAAAAGGCCACGGGGTGTGAATTATAGCGTACTTTCAAGCCAATTCTGCACTAACTACAATATACAGTGCGTCATCACACGTTTATACCGTAGTCGTTTCCGAGATGAAAAACAGAGGTGTCCTATTTGGTATGAGGTACGGGTGGCGGCACTTTGTGCTACAACGTTGGTACACGAATACGTATACTTGCCACCAGACATCACGGACTGCATGTGTTGGTACATGAATACGTATACTTGCCACCAGACATCACGGACTGCATGTGTTGGTACACGAATACGTATACTTGCCACCAGACATCACGGACTGCATGTGTTGGTACACGAATACGTATACTTGCCACCAGACATCACTGACTGCATGTGTTGGTACACAAATACGTATACTTGCCACCAGACATGACTGACTGCATGTTAGCATGCTCTTGTCTCTGTTTTCCTGCAGGACTCTGGTGCTTTGTTTAGTTGATTTCCACTTTCCATATGATCACCATCGTGATACAAGTGTTGTATCTGAATACTAATTAATATACTGACACCTCAACGCGATGCTTCGCCGTCCCAAAATTAATCACACTCTGCTGAGTGGAATGGACTATGATTCGTGGCAGCGCGCGCCTATGTTGCTGGTTTCACAACGTGATGAGCCACGATGGCGCAAGCAGCGCTTTCCTTTCCCACGCATTGGGAGCCGTTGCGCTGACTCTGATCACAGTACGGACGGTGTCTTCCACATGCCTGTTATGCTCTCCAGAGAGCATGTAGCTGCGTGTTGTAAGTTGTAACACTTGGTTAAACTTGATCATGTACACATCCTAGCTGACAGTATAGTACCTGCAAACAGAGGGCCATTGCAGAGGCCATTTATGCTCCTAACCGAGTCATGCATCTTATACTTATTTCAATTGTTGCTTGTGCTGGACAGTACATGAAACCCTATGATACGCTGACGCACACGCTGCTGCGTCTGCACAGCAATATCCCCAAACAGTAGCGATACGTTTGGCACCGAATTGACCAGAAACTGTCATCGCCACGACGACAGGCCATTCGCTAGTCACAGATGATAATGCTTACACTCTCAACTACGAGTACAATAAGTACAATGTTAACAGGCAGCGCTGGGCGCCACCTGCAGTGGGTTGTAATATATCAACGCAGTTCTAGAATAGGCTCCGGTCTTACATAACTATACTTGAAGATTTTCTCACAGTGAGCTCTCAGATTGTATCATGCAGTGACGCTATTGTATCATGCGGTGACGCTATTCGCTTTTTTTTAGTTCGCACTTGCATTCAAAACGTGCACTGGCGGGTACATGCGTGTGTCGGCCATGTTTACAACATGGATTCGTACACAATCATGCCCCGCCTAGCCTCCCTCATGCATCAGCCTGTGATATCGCGCTGTCTAGCGTGTTCCGTGTTATTATCTATTTTATGTTCTGCAGTGTTTTTGTTGCTGTGGTCCTGGATATACGTATTCTTTGTTCTCTACAAAAGCGTTCATGTCTTATCGGTGAGAGTGTAATCCTGCAGCAGTGCGTGCACTTGCATGGCACGTCGGCAATGCTGTGAAGGCCCGTGGGGCGGAAGCAGGTGCACACCCACGTAGATGGTAGAGTCTCTTCTGTCAAACGCACACGGGGAACGTACGGAAAATGCCATGTTTGCATAGCCATAATATTATTGTTTCCTAAGAAGATAGCGTTGGAAAATTAACTTAAAACATGTTCAGTTATCATGATGCCCACTAACCCGGGGCCATTAGTGTCTGCCAATGAATAACGTTATTACCTGGAAAATACCGTACATGTACACGGGCTTCAAAAGAAGAAAAAAAGTGTGTTAAGAACGAAATGGAAAGAAGCCAAGTGAAGCTAGCAGGTTTCCCATATTAGCCGACATGGGGACCGGTTTCAGACCGCGGTTGTAGAGAACGACGGACAGGCACGTGTTCTGAACTTACAGCGTTCAGCTTTCAGCGTCGATGAGGTAGATGGGTGCCTGCTGTACCATCTTCAGGTCGATCTTGTGGCCGACGAGATCACGAATGTTGTTGATCTTGTACTTGATCATGGTAGGCCTGCAACATGGAGAGCATCATCACCAAAGGGAAATGTTTAGCACTACCTACGACTCACAGCTCTAACCAGTAAAGCCAGCAAATAGACTACCGGTAACAGTTATTCTGACACCAACAAGCAACATGAAGAACAAGCTCTGCCAAGGTTGTCATATTTTATGCTACTTGCTAGCAATAACTGGCACAGGTTTTCTGCATATCGAATATTCTGAGCATGCTTCACAAATGCCTACTAGCCTTTGCTTGAATCCACACTAACTCGCACACCACAAGGGCACCATAAAGACGAAGCATAGATCCATGGCGCTGATCTTACCTTTCTAAGGACAGGCCCCATGCAATTACGGACACATCCTTCGGCAATCCCATCGGTAATAACATTTCCGGGCGGAAGATGCCGGAGTTACCGATCTCCACCCATTTTTGAAGACCTGCAGCAAAGAAACAGCCGTCATGACATTATACAAGATACTACAGCGGCGCCGTGCCTTGCATCCGTGCCTAGTGTTTGTAGGTCTGGAGATGCAGAGCACCATGAGCTAGATGAATCACGACACCTAGAATTCCTTGAGCAGCACAGTAACTGACATGCTTGGCCTACAGTGAGCATGAATGCACATGTGTATACACGATGTGCAATATAATACGAGTTTCAACATCACTGCCGATACGGCTCCTGGTGCTAACGTTAAACCGACTTACCATCATGGTAGCTGAACACCTCTAAGCTGGGCTCTGTGTAAGGGTTGTACGCCGGCTTGAAGCGCAGCTTTCGAATACCTAACACAGAACAAGAAGAACAACGTGGAGAGTAAGAGAGTTACGACCTATATGTATATGTACAAACAACCTTGCTACTACAGTACTGTACGTGTAGTATACTGACAGCCTGGGTGAAAGGCACACGTTCCACTGCAGTGATTTCTTAGTCCTTTTGTGCAGGTATGCCTTGCCGTTTCTACCATTTGAACAAAAATGCACGCACGCACACATGCACGCACGCACACACGCGCACATAAACACACACACGCACGCGCGCGCGCACACACACACACACACACACACACGGACAGGACACACACAAGACAGCACGGCACTGACCTAGCTTGTGGAAGAATTCACGCAGTATGCCCATCAGGTGACCAAGCGTCAGATTGCGGTCGGCAACGACACCTTCAATCTGATGGAACTCGGCTAAATGCGTAGCGTCCAGTGACTCATTTCTGAAGACACGGTCAATACTGAAGTACTTGGCTGGCTTGAACTCCGGCTAAGCAGGCACCAGGAAAAGTCACAAAACCACACAAGACACTTAAAAAAAACCCAGACAACATGCACTTGTTTACACCTCACAGCACTATGAGCTATGGCTGGTGTTCGTACCATGATGGTTTGTGGTTATCTTGTAAAAAATAAAATAAAATGCTATCACCGCCATGCCAGTCAATGCATGGTAAGAAGAAAACACATTCCCAACACCAAGACATGCCAACAAACTCAACTGCAGGTCCTCCAACCATTCACCCTGTCTAATGACAGTGGCTGAGAGTAAATAAAGATAGAACAGAAAGCACATCTAATCACACATGCCTGTAAAGACAAACATCACCTCCCCATGTCAAGTAGCAACAAGATTGATACGGTCAGGTCGAAGGGAGCGAAAAAGGTAAAACCCAAGCCCTACTGAGTACTGACAGAGTAGAACATAGCATCGTGTGTATACCTGTTGTGCTAGCTTGTAGAGCATGCGTGCACTGACTGCCGTTGTGTGAGTGCGCATCAGGTTCTTCTGAGCCTCCTCGATTTTCCACTGATAGCCATACCTGTCAGGAGTGCAGACAACATCACACACACGCACACGCACACACGCACATGCACACATACACACAGCATCAAACACAAAATCACAGAGCACATTTTTATCAAAAGACAGAACCGTGTAAGCCACGGCTGTTAGCTGCACTTGGATCGCGGCAACTTAGTTTTCTGCACGTGAACCATGAAAAATCAATGCATGCTCATGCATGTTCATGCATAACCAGTCAGCTGGCCTGCTCGCCCACGCATTTGACAGGTAACAATTCCATCAAATTTGAGATATCGCTTCGTTCTAAGTCTCAAAACAGTTCTAAAGTCACCAAACCACGCTGGTAATCAATGGCTATTCAATGTTAACATCTTCAGGAAGACTTCAGCCGTTTCCCGAGAGTTTGGGCATCGTTGCCGTTATTTTTCACGGTGTTCTTCTTCCTCCTGTCTGGAGCTGCAATTGCATCCTGGAATTATTTGAAAGGTATTTCGTGCGGGCTGTGGGGGGTTCCAACAGGCATAAACTGACATCGCTATTGGATAACTGGTAACTTTCACCCTTCAAGGAGGTAGAGCAATGAGAATTTTTTTGTGGCGGTCGTCCAATTTTTGTGGCGGTCGTGGCTGTATTTGTGCACTTCCAAGGCTTTCATTCTGCCTGATACTACTCTGTACTGTATGGGAATCGTTGTTTAGACACATGTAGCTGTCTTATTTGGTAGATCTGCTGTTTTCAATCACTTGGGACACTTTGTCTAGCCTATTTGTCTTTCGTTCGTGCCATCTATCAGTTTTGTGGGGTGCCTTGACCTGTATTTGTGAAGTTCTCGAGTAAAGACCCTAATTCTTGACTGGAGTCACGTCTTGAATTGAATTTGCTGCGTGAGCCCTCGTTCATGCAGTTGTACTTATCGTAATAGTCAATATCTGCTTGCTGGACGGACTAGCGGCTAGAATAGGGATGACCAAATGGTCCAAGTGTGTACTAGTACACGATTATTGTTTCCATCATCGTGAAATGCTCGTTGTGGAATTGCAGTCGTCTGCCTTTGGCACTGAGGACATGAGGAGAGTTGATTGTTACTTCTGCTCAGCAATGAAGCGATCATCAGCTCTCTTTGTTCTAATTATTGAGAGGACATACCGGCATCGCAATCAAGTAAAGATTAGGCAAACCTCGCCAACCTCCAAAGAGAGTCGAAGATATTTTCTCCAAATGCAAAGACGATCTTTGTGAGTTTGTGACTTGCATTTGCGTGCATACATGAGCAAGTCACGGACCACGGCACGTGCGCGGTTACCATGCCATCTCGAACCGACGCCATCTTTCTAAGTTGCCGCTTCTTGACAGCCGTGAAGCATATATCACGACTTGGTGTTTTGCAATGGACATGAGATGTGTTCCCCGAGCAGAAAGACTGTACAACTACACAGGTATTACAGCTCAATGCACCGTTAACCGCTACAATGCCAACACATTCTTATTGCTTGCTATGCTTACCCTTGAGAG